TTCTCCTCCTCCTCCTCCTCCTCCTCCTCCTAGGGGGAGACGCCTCGCCCCCCGATCGCCTGCTCATCGCCGGCAGGGGCCCGCTGGCCCATCCCGCCCAGGAGTGTGCGGATCCGCTGCCGGGGGGGGGCCCACTGCCGCGCGCCCGGCGACGTACCGCCGAATCCAGCTCGATGGTTCGAGGCCTCCCAGATGGGGTCGGAGTAGAGTAGGGGGTCGCCGATGAATCGCGGATGCGGCTCGATGCGGAGACCGATTTGCTTCACGCCGACGTCACCGATGCACCGCCGACGTGGACGATGCGCCGGTGGTGCATCGCCGAGGCATCGCCGCTGCATCGGCGGTAAGGCGCGATCCTCCGACCTCATCTACTCCGAGCCCATCTGGGGAGGCCTCTAATGCTTCCCCCCTGAGCTGGTCCCCCCCTGTCGCTGCCCCTTGGCTCTCGGATCAGAGCCCAACTCTCCGGCGGCCGCTCGGGACGAGCCGGGCACCCCCGGGCGCGCCCTCGGCGAGGCGCAGCCGCTGGGAAGCACCCCCAGGCTGGAGGGCGGGGGAAGACACACGAACACTTCCGAAGGCCTCCTCCTCCTCCTCCTCCTCCTCTTTCCCCTCCTCCTTCTTCTCCTCCCCCTCCTCCTCCCCCTCCTCCTCCCCCTCCTCCTCCTCCTCCTCCTCCTCCTCCTCCTCCTCCCCCTCCTCCTCCTCCTCCTCCTCCTCCTCCTCCTCCTCCTCCTCCTGGAGGAGGGAGAGAGAGGGGGGAATGGGAGAGCTCCGTCGGAAGGTCAATGGACTATCGACGCATCGACCATCGACTGTCGTTGCCCCTCGCCCCCCCCCCCCCGCCGCCCCGCCTTCCCGCGCGAATGCCCCCCACGCGGGCGGCGCCTGGCGGCCTGGAGGGCGGCGGCGCGGACCTGGGCGCGCCTCTCGTGGCCGCCGCGGCGGCGGCCGCTCCGAGGCCGCGACGCGCCGCCGAGGCCGAGGCAGGCCCAGTGGCACACGCTCGGAGGAGGCGAGGTCGGCGACTGGCGGGGGCGGCAGAGAGGGGGGCGACGACCAGGAGGGGGTGGATATCATGGCGGGGCCACGATGTCCCCAGACTTCATGGCGCCTCCTCTCATCTCATCTCAATGCGTCCTGGGCAGGGGGGCCGCGCACATGCCGCCGGACACGATTTGCGCCTCCCCGCTTGGACGCCCCCCTCTTGGAGGCCCCCGAGACTGCACAGGGTGTGGCTACGCCAGGGTGTGGCTCGCGATCGGCGCCGTTGGGGCTCAGGGGTCGCCGCGCTGCGCCAGAGGCTTGATGGGCCCTCGTCGTGGCGCAATTAGTCGAGGTCCTCGCTCGCTCCCCCTTCCCAGGCGCGGGTTGCAAACCACACCCTCTGCAAACCACACCCTTTCGGAGTCGCCGAAGAGGGCATCGGTACCGCTATCCCGAGGTCCGGGCGTCGCAATTGATCGGCACCAGGCGTTCGCGCCCAGCGTCGGGCGCCAGGGTCCCCACGGACTGGGCCAGCTCGAAACATAGCGCAGAATTGTGGGATCTCGGGCTCCAGGCGTGCTCTCTGGCGTTCTTGTTTTTTTGTCGCAGCGTCGGATCTCCGGGAGGGCATCGATACCGCTGCCCCTGCCTCACGCTTGTCATGTTCTAGGCCGCCCAGATGGGCCGGGTCGGGGTAGGTAAGGTCGATGCATTGGCGATGCGGCTCGATGTGGCGCCCGCTTTTCTCCACGCGGACGTTGCCGCCGCATTGTCGATGTCGCCCATGCCTCGTCCATGCTTCGGCGATGCGGCGAGATCCTCCGACCCTACGTATCTTCTCCGACCCAATCTGGGAGGCCTCTACTTCTTTGGAGCCTCCTGGGAGGTCCTGGTTACCATGGCAGGATTCTCACCGCCCACCAAATCACCCCAACCCAACCCGAAGGCCCCGATTTGCCCTCCACTTCCGGCGGGGGGGAGGGTCGGGGAACATTGCAAAAGCACATGTGAAGCCCGTACCCGGCCCAACCCGAAATTCGGGTCTTCGGGTTGGGTCGGGGTGGTTGGTAGGTGATCAGATGCGCGTTGAAATTCTGGAGGCGCCCCGGGAGAGGTCCGGGGACAGGCGGTATCAGTGCCTTTTGGTTTCCCCAACAAGGCGGGCCCGTGGCAGACGCTCACTTTCGGCTGGCTCAGCGGGCTCATCGCGGAGGGCCACCGCCGCGAGGTCGGGCGAAGGGAGGTTTGAGTCAAGCACGTCCTTCTACAGGAGGAATGTTCAAAGACAGTCCACAACTAGTCCTGTGGCGATTGTTCCAATGCTCCCTGACTGTTTTTTGGGTGGTTGGATATTTGTTCTTCGAAATCCGCCTGTAGGATTACCAGCCTGGAACATATCCCTATCCCTATGCTGGGCACCTCCTCATCACGATGCCAATCTTAGGGATTCCCTTATTTTTTGAGGGCGAATCCCTAAGATTGTCATCGCCTTTTGGCGTGTCAATCTTAGGGATAGGGATACGTTCGAGGCTGGTAATAGGAGGACATGCCCGACCTAAAGGGAGGTTCCAGGTCCGCTCTCAGGGAGGGTCTTGTTAGTTCCGTGGCGCCCTGGTGGTCACGGCTGGGTCCGCCGCGAGATTGCATGCAGAGCGCACCCCAGGAGAGGTCCAGGGAGATCGGTCTTTCGAGGATCCTCAGGACGTGTGTTGGCCCAATGTGTCTTTGTCCCGTTCTTAGCCACGCCCGCAGATCATATTGCATCGCCAGCGTCACATGCAGGGGCCTCGGTGGAAAAACACGCGTTGGCGCTGGCACACGCCTTGTGAGGATCATCGAGTTCTGGACCCCCTGATCAGGGGCAACGTCAAGATCCTGTCCGCCCCCATCCTCCTCCCTCCTCCTCCTTCATCCTCCTCCTCCCTCCTCCTTCTCCTCCTCCTCTCTGTCCTCCTCTCCGTTCTCCTCGCTCCCTCTCCTCCTCATCCCCTTCCCTGCCCTCCTCCCTCCTCTCCCCTCCTCCCCTCCTCCAACTCCTCCTGTCACCTCGTCCTCACACTCTCCTCCAACACTCCAACACTACACAAAACAACTACAAACCAAACAAGCAACAACCACCACACCTCAACTACCTACTCCTCACCACCTCCAAACCCAGCAACCCAAAAACAAAAACAAAAAACAAACCAACACACAACCACAAACACCAAAAGCTCCACCCCATCCTGTGGTCACAACACCGGCAAGAATCCCACCACCTCCTAACCACACCCCCAAAAAACTCCTCCTCCCGTCCTCCTCACTCCTGCCGGCCTCCTCCTCCTCCTCCTCCTCCTCCTCTCCTCCTCCTCTCATCCTCCTCCTCATCCTTCGCCTCCTCCTCCCTCTCGGCTCCTCCCTACCTCCTCCTCTCCTCCTCCTCCTCCTCCTCACTCCTCCTCCTCCGTCTCCTCCTCCTCCTCCCTCCTCTCCTCCTCCTCCTCCTCCTCCTCCTCCTCCTCCTCCTCCTCCTCCTCCTCCTCCTCCCCCTCCTCCTACAACTCCTCTTCCGTCTTCCTTTCAGTCAAGGAGGGGGAAGAAATACCACGACCCCCATGCCATAATCTGCGCTCGCTTAGCAGCTGTAGGCGTTTACTGAAGGACCCTTCACTGTGCGATTCCTGCCCCAGGCGCGTGTACTACAGGATTTTCTTGCCGGGGTGCTTATTATTCGGGTTGTTCCTCTGCCCTCGAAAGGTCGCGCGCGCGGCCGCGGAGGTCTCGGCGAGGCGCCGCGAACAGGACGGCGCGGAGGCGGCCAGAGGCGGCAGCGACGCGGCGCTGGTGCCCGCTAGCCAGCTGCCCGGCTCGCTGGAGGAGGCGGACTTGCTGGAGTTGCGGCCAGACGACGTGCCCGAGGCGCTGCGGGAGCGCGTCGAGGAGGCGCTCGGCAGCAAATCATGGGAGCCCTGTGCTGATGGGCTACAATTTGGGGGGTGCCAGCGTGGGGGGGGCAATCATCGGCCCGAGAGCGGCGATGCCTTAGCGATAAGTCGGCGACTGGCCCTCGATGGCGCACTTGGCCGGTCCTGTGTGGGGTGGGCCATCGGGCTCCTATCGGCGATGAGCAGGTGATTGCGGGTCGATGCGACCCCCCTGAGTCTATCCCCCCCCCAATTCGTTGCCCCTCCTCGAAGTTCCGGCTCCAAAGTGCGCTGTCCTGCACTCGCGTCTGGTGATCGATGGGGAAGCGCCCTTCCGGCGTCGACTCGTGTCGACTTGGAGTCGATTGGCGCAGGTCCGCGCCAGTTGGCGTCGGGCAGCGTCGATTCGCAAGAGCCAGCAGTGGCGGCCAGGAGCTGCAGCTCCGGAGGCCAAGGGGAAACAGGATTTTGGGGTGCTGGTCTCGGCACCCTGTCCTCCCAAGCAGGATGGCACGGGAGGCGCCCATGCGATCGTTATCTTATTCACTGTATTGCCGATCGGCGCGGGCCCTCGCACCCTCCCCCCCCCATGGAGTAGATCTCAGCTCTTTTGGGCGCCTCTTTCGAGGAGCAGGTGGAGCCTCCCCCATGATTAGGACGCACTGCTGCAAGCCGTCGCGTGGAGCAGCGGTCTGGAGCCAAGCCCACCCTCCCACCCCCCCTTCCGCCCAAAGTCGAAACGCCGAGTAACAAAACGGTCCTCCCAAGCAACATGGCACGGGAGGCTCCCACGAGATGCCGCCCGCAGAGGCGTGGGCGCGCGAGCTTGCGCGGCACTCCGGGGAGGCGGCGCGGCGGGTTGCCGAGGAGGGCGCGGAGGCGGCAGCAGCCGCCGGTGCGCCGGACCCGTCCTTCCGGCGCGCGCTGTCGGCGGCCTTCGGCGGCACTTTCGTCGCCGCGGGGGTCTTCAAGTTCATGTACGACAGCCTGCAGATGGTGGTCTTGGCATCGCTCGGTCGTCTGCATGTTTGCTCGGCGAGGGCCATCGAGGAGCATCTTGCGCGCGCGGAGCGAGGACCCTCGAGGAGCATCGAGGACCATCGAGGACCACGAGGAGTGGACGTCCGAACGATGGCGAGTGGTCGTGGCGTGATCGACGGCCCCGAGTCAAGCACCTGCGGGTCGGTCTGGGAGGTCGGCGCGGCCGTCGCAGCGGCCGCAGATCGGGGCAGGGTGCTTGGCAAGGAGCGGCATGCCGCTGCTCAGCGCCCCATCGTTCTGCGATGTAGGCGTGGCTCGCAGTTCACCCTGCAGCGACAGGAAGCTGCCGTTGTGTGTCCGGCATGGGCAGTCCTGCTGTCTTGGGCTGCGGGCCGATCCAGGTGGGGCCGTACGTCCTGAAGCGGTTCCTCCACTATCTGAACGAGTGCGACGCGGACGACGGCCAGGGGGAGTGCGACGTGCGGATGGGCCTGCTTTGGATCGGGCTGCTGATCGGCAGCAACCTGTTGCAGACCGCCATCCTGCACCAGTACTTCCACCGGGCGTTCCGCACGGGCATGCGCCTCAACTGCGCGTCCATCTCTCTCATCTACGCCAAGTCCCTGCGCATCGCGGGGCCCGGCCGGGGCGAGGGCAACGCCAGCCAGGGTCAGCAGCAGGGACATCGAAGAAGAAACAACGCCATAAACAGACTCTTGGTGCTCCGCTCGGATTTCTTGGATCCGCGCTGGGGCCCCCTGGCGGCGCCTGCGGCGCCGCCCCTGGCACGCTCCGCGCGCCAGGGCGGGGGCTCCCAGCGCGGATCCAAGAAGTCCGCGCGGAGCGCAAAAAGCCTATCTTCATGGCGTTTGTTCTTCCTCCAGGACAGCAGCGCACGTCTGGGGAGATCGTGAACCTCATGTCGGTGGACAGCCAGCGGCTCCAGGACACGATGACGTACCTGCACACGCTGTGGAGCCCCGCGGGCGCGACGAGCATTTGTTTGCACATCCGTGCCCCCGCGGTCTGGATATGCCGAGGCGCGAGTCCACGGAGGCGCGATCCCACGGAGGGGCGTTCCGCCAGGGCCCTCCGCGCAGAGGGTAGCGGCCCAGGGCGAGGAGGAGGAGGTGAAGGAGGAGGAGGAGGAGGAGGGGGAGGGGGAGGAGGAGGAGGGGGAGGGGGAGGAGGAGGAGGAGGAGGAGGAGGAGGAGGAGGAGGAGGAGGAGGAGAGGAGGAGGAGTGAAGGAGGAGGAGGCGAAGGAGGCGGAGGAGGAGGGGGCGGGGGGGGGGGATCCAGACCGGTTGGCCCCATGGTGGGGGCATGCCGCCCGCCCCGCGCCCGGCGAGAGGAGCGGCCCGTACCAGATCACCATCACGCTGGTCTTCCTGGCCTACGTCGTGCACTGGGCTACGCTGGCCGGCCTCGCCGTGATGCTGCTGCAGATCCCGGTCGTCACGCTGATCTCGCGCCGCATCGCGGCGGCGAGCGAAGGGGGGGAGCGAGGAGGAGAAGGTCGGGAGCGGAAAAGAGGGGGGTGATGACTAGGGGGGGGTGGACATCATGGCGCGGGCCATCCCGAGAAGGCTCCGAAGAAGGCCCGGGACACCCCCCTCTTTGCCGCTCCCGAGAAGGCCTCTCGAAGCAGGAGAGACGCCAGGAGCATAAACGCTTGGCGCTCCGCTCGGATTTCTCGGATCCGCGCCGCGGCCCCCCTGGCGGCGCCCCCGGCGCCACCCCTGGCGCGCGGAGCGAGCCAGGGAGGGGGGTCCAGCGCAAATCCCAGAAATCCGTGCGGAGCGCAAAAAAAGTCGATGTTTATGGCGTTTTTTGGTTTTTTGTTTTTTTTTATGTTCTCAAAAGGTTCGGAAGCCGCCGAGCCTTCTGAGAAGTTCTCAAAGCCTACCCTGAAGACAAACAAAACAGACTTCTCAGAAGGCGTGAGGGCTTCTGGGAAGTCCCGCCGCCTGAGAAGGCTTTCTCCTCCTCACTCCCCCCCCCCGCCCGCCGCCGAGCATCAAGCTGGCCCAGAAGAAGCTCATGAAGATCAAGGACGAGCGCATCAAGGTCGGGAGGCCCTCGGTTGCGACACCCGGGTGCCGGCCCCTCTCCGTGGCGCTCCCGCTCGTGCCTCGCGGGGCGGGGCTGCGTCGGGCGTATCGATTAAGAGACCGGCCTGCCGACAGGTGCCCCGCGGGAACGTCTCGTTCCCCGGTGGCCCTTGGGGGCCCATGGGGCACCTCACGGGGTGAAGCATCGACTGGAGGGCGTGCCCTTCTTGTGTCCTCTGGCGAAGCGTCTTGCCGTACGTGTCTGCTGCGGCGGCCGCTCGTTGAAGGCATGAGTTCTGGATCCCCAGATCCCAGCACAAGCGCCTTCCTGCTCAAGTACGGGTTGCTTCCTAGGTTAAACCGCCGATTCATCGGGCGGGTTGGGACCGAACTCTCTCACAACACCTTCTTATCTCATGCTCTTAAACAAATTCCTTCGCAACGACGTATTTCGGCGGTTTGAACAAGAGCCTCCTTAAGGTCACGAATGAGCTCTTCGGGTCCATAAAGCTGCTGAAGATGTATGGCTGGGAGGAGTCTTTTGGAGTCAAGCTGGACAGCATCCGGGAGGCTGAGAGACAGTCAGACAGAGAGAGACAGGAGGTGGAGGAGGTGGAGGAGGAGGATGAGGAGGAATGGGAGGAGGGTGGGGGAGGAGAAAATGGAGTAATGAGGAGTAAAAGTCAAAGTCTGGGAGGCCGAGCTGAAGCAGCTGCGCAAGTACCAGATCCTCAATATAGTCAGCAGTGCCATCTGGAGCACGGCTCCCATTCTGACCGGAGTGGCGACCTTCGGAGTCTACACGGCGCTCTACGGCGATCTAAACGCTGCGACCGCCTTCACGGCGTTGTCACTGTTCAACGTGCTGCGCTTCCCCCTCACGATGTTTCCGAACATGGTAACGTCGGCAGTAGAGGCCTCCGCCTTTCGTGTTCTTCGTCCTCCTCCTGCTCTTCATCTCCTCTGCACTGGAGGTCTATCCCTTCTCTCTCCCTTCTCCGCCTCCACTTTGTCGGCCTCCTCCTGCTCTTCGTCGGTCTCCTCACTCTTCCTCTTCGTTATCCTCCCCACCTCGGCAGCACAGGCATCCCCTCTCCTCCGCCATCTTGGGACACCTCAGACAGTGAAACGTCTCAGGAGTTTGGGAAACGCTTCAAATCGAATCTACTACAATATTCCTCCCCCTTCTCCTCCTCCTCCCGCTCCACCTCCTTCGCCTTTTCCTTCCCTCCAAGGACGCTCCATAGCCCCCTGACCCTACTCAGAACTTCTAGAACCCATAGACCCCTAGAAGCAGGAGGGGGAGGGAGAGGAGAAGGATGATGATGATGATGATGATGATGATGATGATGATGATGATGATGATGATGATGATGATGATGATGATGATGATGATGATGATGATAGTGATGATGATGATGGTGATGATGATGCTGATGCTGATGCTGATGCTGATGATGATGCTGCTGATGATGATGCTGCTGATGATGATAACAATGATGATGCTGCTGATGCTGATGCTGATGATGAGGATGCTGGCGATGATGATGCCGATGATGATGACATTGATGATACTGCTGCTGCTGCTGATGATGATGATCATGATGCTGATGATGCTGATGCTGATGCTGATGCTGCTGATTATGATGACGACGATGATGGTACTGATGCTGCTGATGATGGCGTTACTGATTATGATGGTGATGATGCTGATGATGATGATGCTGATGCTAATGATGATGATGATGATGATGATGATGATAATGGTGATGACGATGATGATGACGACGAATATGATGATGCTGCTGATGATGATGATGCTGATGATGCCCCTGGTGCTGCTGATGATGATGATGATGATGATGGTGATGGTGATGGTGATGGTGATGATGATGATGATGATGATGATGATGATGATGATGATGATGATGATGGTGCTGCTTCAGGTGCCGCTGCTAATGCTGGTGCTTATTGTGATGACCATGCTTCGTATTCTGGTGAGGATGGTGGCCGTGGTGGTGGTGGTGGTGGTGAAGGTGGTGGTGGTGTTGCTGCTGATGATGCTGCTGATGATGATGGGGAAAAGCAGGAGGAGGAGGAGGAGGAGGAGGAGGAGGAGGAGGGTGATAATGATGGAACTCGTTTGGACCGTCCTAGGGCAATCTCATTTTCCTGTGAGTCAGTGTTTGGACTCCCTTGGGGCCGTGTTGGGGCCCTCTTACGCAGGCTTGGACTTCTCTTGGGTCGTCTTGGGGCCCTCTTGGCCCTGTTGTCGATGCCTGGGAGCCGTTGGGGAGCCGTCGTGGGGCCGTCTTGGCGCCGTCTTCGGCCGTCGAAGGGCTTTCGAAGGCCGTCTTGGTTCCCACAGGAGGCATTCTTGGGCCGTCTTGGATGTCCCTTGGGCCATCGTGGCGTCCTCATGGGCCGTCTTGAGCTGACGACAGCCCGAAAAGGCGAGAGTGCGAGAATCATTCAACAACCGAGTGAGAATCAATGAATTTGGCTTCTTCGGACCCTATTGAAGGTCCTCTTGTGGCCCTTTTGGGCCCTCTTGGAACATCTTGGGCCGTCTTGAAGCACTATTCGGCTGCCGTGGGGCCTTCCTGGGCCGTCTTCGAGGCATCATGGGCCATATTGGTGTCCTTGGTTGCCTGCACGGGCCGTCTTGGAAGCTCGGGACGCACATCCGTCGTTCGTAACAAGGGATCGAGATTTTGGAGGCCTTTCAGCGCTTGGGAGCAGCGCCTGGGAATGCGGGAAGTGCACGATCCTCCAGCAGGTGCGCGTGGAATGAGGGGTCTAGGAGGTAGCAGCTATGCGGGACGTGCGCAGTCCTCGAGCAGGCGCTACACATACCATCCACCGATACCAGCTGACAACATACGTCTCTATTCGGAGTCTGGGACCAGAAGGTTTGTCACCCCAACCTTCACACGAGCACCGCTCCAAGGATGGGAGAGCCCATGAGCCCCATCCGACTTGGCAGGGCTATGGCAGTGCACCACGCGCACCTGACGGGGTCCGTGGCCTCGAGGAAGAGGAGAGGGGGAGGAGGAGGAGGAGGAGGAGGAGGAGGAGGAGGAGGAGGAGGAGGAGGAGAATGGAACCCCGCCGTCTGCGACGTCTGCGGCGGGGGGGGACCCTGACACCGCGCGGGCGCCGCCGGGGCACTCGGACGGGATGCCGTACGCCTTTTGTGCCCCCACGCCGTCTTTGGATGCCCGAGATGGGTACCGAAAGAACGGGTACAATGCCCAACAACAAATGCTGTCCCAAGCCAACAGCGGCCGCTGCTGCGCCGGCGGCCTTCTGTCTCAAATGGACACAGGCCGCGGCGACACCGACAGCGAGTCCTGCTCAAAATGAACAGGGACTGCTGCTGGGCACCGTACCCATTCCTTCGTGCCCGTTCCGTTCGTGCCCCCGCGCGGGGGACCCCTCCTCGCCCGGAGTCCAGCCTCGTCGTGGCTCCCCACCCCACCGTCTGTCAGGAGGGGGAAACACACACAGACACAATGAATCGTCGATTCTCCTAAACATATGTGTGGAACACCGTCGATTCTCCTCACAGATATGGGAACATATGGGAAGTGTGGGGGGAAGACAGGGACCCAGAACATACAGGAACGTAGGGGAAAGCTTTTGATTTGTGTGTGTGTATTTCTTTGCGTGCCCCAGGGCCCCTTCAGCCTTGGAGCCCCGTCGTGGCGACGCGAAGCCTCCCCGAGGCTGCAGGGCCCCCCGCCGGCCCGACGGTCCCCGAGGGCCCCGACGGCCCGAGGGCCTTGGCGGCGTCCCTTCCCGCCACGGGGGGGGGGGAGCGGCCAAGGGACATGGGCCCTCAGGTTTTTCGTCGTGTTCGAGCTTCGAAGAATATTCCTCTTCCTATTTTCTTATATAAGCCGGGCGGGGGGGAAACCCGTCCCCCCCCCCCCAATATTGGATTCCCGGGACCTGGGGCTGTGGGGCCCTCCGGACGGGCCTCGAAGCGGCCACCGGGCCTCGCAAGGCGTTTTGCCAAGCTTTCCCAGCACACTTAGGCCGATCAGGGGGATCATCGGAGACGTCCCAGAGACCCCCAAGACAGCACAAGAGCGCTCCAAGAGTGGCCGACGTGACCTCAAGATGCCCAAGAGGCCTTCAGGACGGCCCCAAAGAGGCCTCCAAGAGCTCTCCCAAGAAGGCCCCCCGCGGCAAAAATCATTGATTTTCTAAAGGTTTTTGGCGAATTTTGGGGTTCTCCTTTTTTCGGCTTCTTAACGCTCCAAGACGGCGGTGTTTGGGCGTCCGAAACCGCCTGGGAGGCTCCCAAATCGCCCCAGAACCATCCGAAAGGGCTTCCAGGCAGTCCAAGAGAGGCCCAAAACGGCACAACACGGGTCCAAGATGGCCATCAGAGAGCCCCATGGCGGCCCAAGATAGCCCAAGGACACCCTCCGAAGAATTCCAAATCGTGATTCGGTCGTTCAGGGAGACGGCGGTTGGAGGCAGGGTGGCCCGAGGAAGCCCCCGGATGCTCCCAGAATACGCCCAGGAAGCCTCCAGAAGGCCCTAAGAAAGCCCGAAACAATTTTTGTGAGGCCCCTAGAGGCTCTCCAGGGAGGAGCCTCCGCAAAAAAGAGCTGAGGAGGACGGGGAGAATGCGCAGGGCATGGCGAAAATGAGGAACAATAAGCATGGAGGAAGGATACCGAATCACATCATTATAGCGGCGATGCCGGAAAAGGCAACCAGGAGTTATCACTAAATTGTCGGCTTGACCTTCCTGCCATTCCGCCTGCATACCAAACTTCAAGGACCAAGGTGCATGGCGCGAAGCGCCACTGCAGTCTTGTATGTATGTATGTGTATATATATGTATATATTTTATATGTATATATACATATATACATTTATATATATATATATATATGTATGTATGTATACAAATGCCACAGACGATTTTTGACGCTCCGCGCGGATTGTTTGGATCCGCGCTGGGCCCCTCTGGCGGCGCCTCCGGCGCCGCCCCTGGCGCGCTCCGCGCGCCAGGGAGGGGGGTCCAGCGCAGAGCGAAGAAATCCACGCGGAGCGCCAAAAGTTTATGTTTATGGCGTGTTTTCTTCTTCGAGAGCTCTCGGGGCCCTCCATGGTTCAGGGGCGGCCTAACCGACCCCAAGCAAACCGTCCCCTACCGTGACGCCCCCCTCGCCTCGCTCCAAGACGCGCGTGTGCGGCCAGAGGGACGCTTGAGAGGCGAGGGGGGCGTCACGGAAGGGGGTGGTTTGCTAGGGGTCGGCCAGGCCGCGCCCGAGTGGGCCCAGGGACCGTACAGAAACGACTCAGTGTGATGAGATCGTCCTGGGGGAAGTCCCCAGGGTGCAGGACACCGCTTCCCTCAGTTCCCGCTTCCCCCGTGCTGAGCTCCGACCCTACCCGGCGTACGGGCCCCGGGCGCTCCTCGGGCCGCCCCCTTCCCGTTGGCCGTGCGGTCTCGGTGCACTCGAGGCGTCAAAGCACACGGTGCCTTCTCCTGTGTTGCGTTCTCGCTGCACTTTCGTCTCGGTCCGCGGTGTGGCGCTCCGGCTTCGCTGCCCTTCTCGTTCCACGGCGTCGTTCCAGTGTCGCTCCGCTTTCGCATCGGGCCCTGTTCCGTCCTGGCCCAGAGCGAGATGGATGTCCAGATCGAGACCAGGGCGACATTGCCACGAACATCAGGAGCGCGCGCGCGTCATTGAGGGGTCCCGTGACCTTGCACCCCCAGGGCGCAGCCGGGCCTGTCCCTCTACAGGGGGATTTTTTTAAGTTAAACAATAGTCTGGTGACGAATTTATTGAGTATTTTCATTTCACCCATTGGGGGAATTATATAGGGATTTTTTTTTCGTCGAAAATCCCACTGTACGGGGGTCACGCCCGACGTAACCCTGCGCTCTCGGGGCCCGCTTGTCGGCCCGATCCGGTCTTGGCTGCCGTGCTGTTTTGTCTGTGCTGCTCTGGCGCGGCCCGGCGGCTCGGCAGCCGCGCTCGCGCCCGCGGGCGCCGCGAGCAAGAATCGGTAGAGGGGCAACAGCGCACAGGCACAAGGACTCGTCGATCCCCAGAGGAAAGAGGGGAAAGTCTGGGGAGGGGGGGGGAGGGAATAGGGGGAAGTTTGGGGAGTGGGGGGGGGAGACGAACACCCATAGCATGTGAGAAAATGTGTGGGATCCGTTTAGTTGTGTTTGGAGGTTGATAGACCTCCTACCCTGACACGTCGATTAGTGAATTGGCCGTTTTCGGTTCGCGAGAGGGCGTCGTGGCCCTCATTTTTGCGGGTCCAGGTCCGTCGGTTCCGGTCCCAGGCCGTTTTCATTAAGGGGAGGTTTACTAAAGGGAGGTTTGTCCACCGCCGATGTGTGTATTTATTTGTGTGTCCCAGGGCCCCTTCAAACAAACTCATGTCTGTGTTGTGCTTGGGCTTATTGCGCAGGCCTTGCGGCCGGTGCCGCCGACCCTGAAGGGAGACGACGACGACGACGACGACGACGACGCCAACGACGGCGACGACGACGACGACGACGACGACGACGACGACAGCGACAGCGACGACGACGACGACGACGACGACGACGACGACGACGACGACGACGACAGCGACAGCGACGACGACGACGCCGCCGCCGACGACGACGACGACGTGTTTTTCTTTGGTAAAATATGTATGCTTTCGTGGCTCCTTCGTTGCTGAGCCCTGTCGCTGCGGCCTGCTTCTCGGCCCCGCGGCCCGCAGCTGGCGCCCCGCGGCCTCCGGAGGATGCCGTCGGGCCGGGCCGCCGCACGCGAACCCTGCAGTCGAGGCTGACTAGCAGGTCGACCCTGCCACATCGAGGGTATCCATGTGTCCTGAGCGTTTCGCGACCTACCTATGCCTTCTACATTTCCAGGGCACTCTGGCATTCGCAAGGGTCCCTGTGGCCTCTCGCGTGCCCTCTCCACTCTACCCCGACCGTGCCCCCACCACGCCGCGATCTCTCAAGGGGGGGGGGGAGGTGGGGCTCGCTTCCTCGGGGACCCCCCGAGCGAAGTGAGCCCCCACCTCCCCCGTTGGAGCTCGTGGGGCGGTGGGGTCGGGTCCGCACGTGTGGCCCCCCTAGCCGGGACCGGTCGCCGCGTCGCTCTGCCCGAAGCGTCCCCGGGCCGCGTCGCTCTGCGCGAGGCCACGATCGCGCTGCAGCGCATCACGGACTTCCTGTGCTCCCCGGAAATCGGCGGCCGGGCGGCCCCGCCAGAGATCCAGTGGCAGCCGCAGGAGTCGCGGGGCTCGCGGCGCACGGGGGGGGGGTATCTCCTGGAGCAGGCAGGTCGGAGGAGGGCCTCGAGGGGAAGGATGCCCATGCCGCTGCCCTTCTGCTGCAAGTTGCTCGTCCCCGTATCCGAATTGTCATTCTTGTGCGCTCTCCTATCCTCCCTGCGTTCGACACCACGTCGATGTCTTCTTCGGTCGGCTCTCGTATGCCAGGTACCCCGGTCGGGCACTTACTCAAGGACTCTCCTTCGACACCGCCTACAGGGAGAGCACAGCAGCGCATGATCCACAGCCCGCTTCACGAGATGGATGGCGACGACACTCTTGGCAACAATCGGTCATAAGAATTGGGACTTTTCACAGCCCCTCCACCTTCGTCTTTTGGTTATGATAATCGCCATGCCGATGCCCAAGCACTTACTACAGACATGGTCCGGAAGATTTTGAATGAGCAAGTGGACCCAATCCGGAGGGATATAACCGCAATTAAACAACATGGTGTCTCACAACATGACCTCCAGACGGCCATCAAGCCGCTGAAACACGAGATGGAGGACTTGACCAAGAGGATTGGGCTGCTGGAGTCAAATTACGCTTCACGTGGACAGTGGCGCAGGCAAACATACAAAGCTTGGAAACTGAGTTTGCTTTCCTGAGAGAACAATCTGCCTCCAGGGGGGCACGTCCAAACCTTGGAACTACCGACGTGGATGGGAAATAAGAGGTGACGGGAGTCCGTGGCAATTTGGACGGTTTAAGCTTATTGAACACAGCATCCGCATGGCTTCAAGATCAAGTATCATCGATTTCTGGCCCTCCCCCAAACAACTTGTACATCAAAGGCGATACTACTACAATGCTGTACGGTGAATTTCATAGTGGCCTTGATCAGGAGCGCGACAATAAGCCGGAATGGGAATATTGTTTGGGCTGCGCCCGACAGGCACATCGTAGAACGTGCCGCGCGGAACTTCTGTTTCGGCTTCAAATACATGTTGAAAGAGAGCATGAATCTTGATATCATCACCAAGGTCAACGACACGTTTCCCTGTCAGGTCTACGTGGGCGGGGAGCTCGCCCTTACTATCACGACTGCAGCAGGAGGTCTGCAGTGAGAGTGGGCAGGGGAATGGACATAATGGAAAGAATTACACTAATCGAGCTCACGGAGAAGTGCGACAATCTATTGGACAAAGCCGCCATAGGCATGAAGGGGAAGGGTAATTCCAAAGGCTCGGACGACAAGTAGGGAATGCGGCCGGACACCAGAGCCGGCCGAATCATCGACGATGTGATGGGATCCGGCGCCACTGCGAAGTTGGGCAAAGCTACCCTCGTACGTGACGTGCCACACATACCACCACATCCATGTACCACCAGAAGCACTACCTCATCAATGTCCTCGTCTACCCGCCTCCCCCGCCTTATCGATGCCCCCCCTTTGCCTGCAGGCCAGCACAACACCAGCAATCACTTCTTCCACCAGCAGGGCTCGGGCAAAAATACCAATCCCAGGCTTGGTACTACCGCTCCCCTCTCGGACCAGGGCAATGATACCTGCAACCCGCTTGATGCACCACCTCGTACTCCTGCATATCCTTCTGGCCACAGTAATACCAAAGACGTCTGTGTCGACACTGACATTCGTGCAGAACGATGGCAACAGTCAGCACATAGCAAATATGAGTACCGTCGGCGGCATTGCAAACCTCTCGGAAACAATTTCTTGGCGCATGGAGCGTCCAGGGTCTAGGGCAATACCACAATGCAGTGTCTGAGATTCAAAGCCACATGGAAGCAATAAGTATCGTATAATGTGTATTCAAGAAACACGCGTTGCAGGTTCAAATCAGTTCCTACGAGGTGGATATCTAATCATTCTGTCAGGCTCACTGGTGCCGCGCGGAGGGCGCCTTCATTCGGGCGTCGGTGTCATGATAGCCCCGAGCGCGATAGGATCTATACTAATCTTCAAACTCCTTATGAGACAGGCTCGCAACGCTGAAAGTATAAGTCGAAGGCGGCATTCTGAACATCATGACCCCCTACGCTCCGCACTCTGGAAAGGAATGCGAGTTGGGGAAAAATCTGTTCGACAGCGTTGGCTAAGCATGGGCGCGGCATGGCTATCACAACTGCGCTGTCGCACAAGGGGACTTCAATGCGCGATTGGGGGAGAAGCTAGCTGGAGAAGATGACGCAATGGGGGGGCACTTGATAAAGACGACGACCAACTCAAACAGGGAACTCTTTGTCGAGACGCGCCGGGAGTCAGAGGCCATCATCGCGAACGTCTATTTCGAGCATCCACCAGCGCATCTCGCCACCTATTGCGCGCCTGCCCCGGGGGTCGGCCCGGCCAGCGACATCGCAGAAAAAGACTTTGCGCAAGTGGACCATGGCTTGATCGATTCCAAGCTCTCTCCTTGATTGGCGACATTTGGGCGGACAGGACAGCGGCGTTGCCGACGCGGCACTTTTCGATGGCAATTGCAATGCGCATTCTACTTGGGAAGCAAACAAAGAAAACACATCACAACGATGCTATTTAACCGCGTTGCGACGTTCTCCTGGCATGGGAAGGGCTTATATTGATGCTTTTGAAGATGCTCCACCAAATCATACGAAAGCGCCGCCTCTCAATGACCGCGGTGACGCAGTGGCAAACGCAATGACGACGGCAGCCGAGACGGCTGTTGCCCCTGCCCGGAGGCCCAACCAACAATGAAAATATTTGGGGACGCTCGACCTGTTTAGCCACGGGGACAACGCGCGGCAAAGCGGCGACGTGCGCGGCGAGCGCCAGCCAAACAAAACCATCAAGAAAGCGATGCGACAAGATAAACGGCGGAGGTTGGACAATCAGCTCTTTGGGGGGGGTCTTGGGCCGCGCTCGAAGCATTGCGCAAAGCACCTGGGAAGGCGCCGATTGAAATCAATAACAAATTTGGGGGGCTCGCGCAGAGCGATTAACGAGCAGACGCGTTAGCGGATTATTTCGAGAGCATCCAATGGGGGGTCAAATCTGCAGACGCATTGGGGGGCGGCCCCCCTCTATGGACTTCCGCCCCCATAAATACAAACAGCTTTACGATGGACGAGTTGACGCAAGCACTGAAACAATTAGCAATGGGGAAAGCTGCAGGACATGATGGGGTAGCGCCGGAATTCTGCTTAATCCCGTCAAATATGGCTGAATCCCGTTTACTATGGCTCAATCCTGTTTAATTCCGCTACCTAATCCTGCGTAGCAGCCCGACAATGAGGCTGAGTTCTCCTGGATTATTCAGACGACGAACTCCCAGTGTTTGCTTCCTGACATCATCTAGGAGGCCTCTAATTCTCCCCCTGACCCGCCGAAGAATTTGAGGAGTAGGGAACCGAAAAATGGCATAAACATAAAAAACTCGAAGGTCCGTGCGGATTCCTTGGATCCGCGCCGGACCCCCCGCCTTGGCGCGTGGAGCGCGCCAGCGGCGGCGCCTCCGGCGCCGCCAGGGGGCCCCAGCGCCGATCTGAGAAATCCGCGCGGACCTCCGAGTTTTTGTGTGTATGTCATTGCTCGTTCCCCTAATGCACCGTCGCCAGATCTCTCCTCCTGCGGCATGACGCAGGCCGACGGCACACTGCACCCTCTCGTTGCGCCCCCCCCCCCCTGAGGAGGGCGGCCAGGGCCCAGTGGCGGTGCGCATCTCGCAGGCGAACCTCGTCGTCGTCGTCGTCGTGGCCGTCGGCGTCGTGGTCGTCGTCGTCGTGGTCGTGGTCGTCGTCGGCGGCGCGGTGGCGTCGTCGTCGTCGTCGTCGCCGTGGTCCCTTCTCCTCCTCCTTCTCCTCCTCCTCCTCCTCCTCCTCCTCCCTCCGCCTCCTCCTCTTCCTTCTCCTACTCCCACTTCCCCTGGAGCTCCCTCGTTTCACCTCCTCCCTCTTGCCTCCTCCCTCCCCTCATCCTGCCTTCCCATCCTCACTCTGTCCTTCCCTCCCTCCGCCTCCATACTGCTACTGCTCTTGCTCCTGCTCCTGCTCCTCCTCCACCTCTTTCGTTTTTGCAATGTCGCGCCCCTGATCGAATTGCCCATGCATGCTGCAACGGAAGTATGCGAAAAACCAGCCAAAACGGTCACACCCGCTTGTCAATCATGCAGCGTCGAAGCGCACGCGGAAAACGAATGCACAAGCGCAGAAATGTCTCACAACCGGCCTATCGCGCGTCTTCCTCCTCCTCCTCCCTCCTCCCTCCTGCCTCCTCCCCTCCTCCTCCTCCTCCTCCTCCTCCTCCTCCTCTCCTCTCCTCCTCCTCTTGCCTCCTCCTCCTCCTCCTCCCTCATCCTCCTCTCTCCTCTCCTCCTCCTCCTCCCTCCCTCTCCTCCTCGCCTCCTCCCCTCATCCTCCTCCTCCCTCATCCTCCTCCTCCTCCTCTCCTCCTCCCTCTTTCTCCTCCTCCTCCTCCTCCTCCTCATCCTCCTCCCTCCTCCTCCCCCTCCTCCTCCTCCTCCCCCGTCTCCCCTCCTCCCCAAGGGAGGCTGGGCCTCTCCATCGCCGGGGAAGACGGCGGTCGCAACAAGAGCCGTTGCCCCCCCTGGACGCTCGGGGTCGGCGCCTCCAGCTGCCCGTAGACGGCGCGGAGTCTGCGCCGCAGCGCCGAGTCCCCCCTCCCTTCCCCCCCCCTCGCCAGGTAAGCCTGGCGTGGCCCGGGGGCGTTCCCCTCCTGAGCGACCTGAGCCTCGTGGTGCCCGCGCCCCTCCCCACGGGCGAGCGGGCCCACCTCACCGTGGTCCTGGGCGCCGTCGGCACGGGGAAGTCCGGGCTGCTGCAGGCCCTCATCGGCGACCTCGGCCCGCAGTCCGGGACCGTGGCCGTGGTCGGGTCGATCGCCTACGCCTCGCAGGCCCTCGGGCGGCCCTCGGGCGGCCTTCGGGCGGCGGCGGCGGCGCTCGGACGGCCTTCGGGCCGCTCTCGGCGGCCCGCTTGCGGCGGCCTGCCTTCGGCGTCCTGCCTTGGGCGGCCCTCGGGCGGCTTTTCGGAGGCCGCCAAGGCGTGGGCCGCCGATGCGCCGCCGCCAAAGGCGTTGGCGGCGGCGTCGTCGTCGCTGTCGCCGTCGAGGGGGCGAGGCGGAGGAGGCATGATGATGATGATGATGATGATGATGATGATGATGATGAGGAGGAGGAGGAGGAGGAGGAGGAGGAGGAGGAGGAGGAGGAGGAGGAGGAGGAGGAGGAGGAGGAGGAGGAGGAGAGAGGAGCTAACCGGGGCACTCGCGAGTGCGGCAACAGCGATGCCCACTTACCTCTTTGCCTCAATCTTGCTTTGTCTCAACCGCACCAGCCAACCCCCTTGCTCACCAACTGCAGAGCAGTGGCGCCCGACGCAGCAACCCTGGGGACCGCTAGGACGTCCCAGGCCGGCACGGTACAGTTGTGTGCACCGCCATTCACGGCTCTCACATTGGCTGGGGGGGTGCTCATGGCTGGGGGGGACTGCCACAGCAACCACAGACTGGCACGGTACAGTTGTATGCCTTGCCATTCACAGCTCTCGCATTGGAGGGGGGGGATCATCATGGCTGGCGGGGGGGTGACTACCACAGCAACCACGTGGCCACCGCCAGGAAGAGGAGGAGGAGGAGGAGGAGGAGGAGGAGGAGGAGGAGGAGGAGGACGAGGACGAGGAGGAGGAGGAGGAGGAGGAGGACCAGGGGATCATCATGGCTGGCGGGAGGGGGGGAGGACCGCCAAGGCAACCGCGTGGACACCGCCAGTGGGCACAAGCCTCCTCCAGGCTCTGGTGGATCCCCCCCCCCCCCCCCCCCCAGGCAGCCACCAGCTCACCAGCTCCGCGTCTGCATGGGTGGCCTGCGCCTGCCTCGGAGCGGGTGAGGGGCCCCGTCGCGGGGCCTGTGGGCTGGCTGGGGGGGGTTTTCGATGGGGAGGGGAGGAGGAGGAGGAGGAGGAGGAGGAGGAGGAGGAGGAGGAGGAGGAGGAGGACCAGTGGAAACCCAAGAGTCATCAATGATGTTGGAATCAACCCTCCCTCCAAGCTCCCCCGTCATAGGCCCCTACAACGGTTCATTTCCACTGAGGGAATTGCCTCGTTGGGATACAACCGTTTGAAGACCCTGAAGCATGCCGAAACAGTATTCCTGGGATTTCAGCGCCACGGATGAACCGGATTGTTGCGTCTTGACGGTCTTGAATCTTGCCAGAACACCGTTCCTGAGGCTTCAACACAACAAATCAGTGGAACTGTTGCACCTACATCATCGTGACTCTTTCCAACACATGTTTTTGGTACGCTGTCCTTGAAGCTCTCGCAGTTGATTAAAAGGAATGCGCGCGGCGCTCAGGCGAGAGCCACAGTTTGAAAAGGAACCGCCCTCTATCCGAGAAGCTCTTGCACATTTGTAGATCGAATGCGCGCGGCGCTGAAGCGAGAGCCACATTTTTGAAAAAGACCCGCCCTCAATCCGTGAAGCTCTTGCATCTACATCAAACGAATGCGCGCGGCGCTAAGGGGAGAGCCACAGTTTGAAAAATGATCGCCCTCAATCCGTGAAGTGTTTGCAAATTTGTAGGTCGAATGTGCGCGGCGCTAAGGCGAGAACCTCATTTTGAAAACGACCCGTCGCAAGCCGTGAAACTCTTGCAATGAGTTAAAATGAATGTGCGCGGCGCTAAGGCGAGAGCCACATTTTGAAAACGTCCCACCGTCAATATGTGAAGTAGTTGTCATGTTGAAAGCTTCAGGGTCATAAGCGATGGGGAACTCTCAGGCGAAACGCCCGCGCCCGCCCTAAAAACTGGGTCTGGGGGTGCGACAGGAAGAAGTTAGTTATAAGGAGAAGGAATGGAGGAGGAGGAGGAGGAGGAGGAGGAGGAGGAGGAGGAGGAGGAGGAGGACCAGTGTAAACCCAAGAGTCATCAACGATGTTGTTGTAAACCCTCCCTCCAAGCTCCCTCTTCTCAGGCGCCTACAACTGTTCATTCCCATTGAGGGAACTGCCTCGTTAGAAAGCACCCGCTCGAAGATCCTGAAGCGCCAAAACACTGTTCTCGGGATTCCGATGCCGCGGATCAATTTGGTTATTGCGTTTTGACGATCTGGAATCGTGCCATAACGCCATTCCTAGGACTTCAACACAGAATCAACGTACATGTTGCGCCCGCATAATCCTGAACCCTTTCAAAACACCATTTCTGGTACGTTGATAATGGGGATCCGTGAAACTTTTGAAAAACGCTGTGAAATAATGTGCGCGGCGCTACGGCGAGAGCCACATGTTGAAAAGGAACCGTCTTCAATCCGTGAAGCTCTTGCAATTGTTTAGATCGAGTGTGCGCGGCGCAAAGGCGAGAGCCACATGTTGAAAACCACTCGCCCTCAATCCGTGAAATTCTCTGCATTTGTTGACGGAAATTCGCCGTTCTAAGGCGAGAGCCATACTTTGAAAACGACATGCTTTCAATGTGTGAAGCCCGTGCAATTCTCTAGAACGAGTGTGCGCGGCGCTCAGGCGAGAGCCACATTCTGAAAACCACTTGCCCTCCGTCTGCGAAATTGTTGCCACTTTTTTAAGCTTCAGAGTCATAAGTGATGAGGCACTCTCAGGCGAAACGCCGGGCCTGCCTAAAAGCTGGGCCCCGGGGTGTGACAGGGGAGGTGATTTATAACGAAGAGGAATGGGGGAGGAGAAGGAGGAGGAGGAGGGAGGAGAGGAGGGGGAGGAGGAGAGGCCCTTGTGTCTTCCACACTGGGCGAGTGTGGCCTTCGCCCCGTGCCAGCGCGGCTTCTACTTCACCAGCGCCACCCTCGTCCCCCTCGCTTCCCTTCCACGCTCACCATGGTTTCCCCATTTTCATGTTCATCGATCAGTCATTTTGCTGCTGACATCTTCCTGCTTCTGCCTTCAGCGTGCCCAAACAGCCGTTGACTCCAAGGGCGACCGTCCTTGGAGTCATCCCCCCGAGGGCCGACTGGTCCTGGGGGTGGTGGCTACGTCTGAGACTGCAAGGCCATCGGTGCCTCAGCGCTTCAGGAGAAGGAGGAGGGTATCTTTTCTTTTCCTCCTCCGCCTCCTCGCAGGTCTCCTGGATCCGCAACACGTCGGTCAAGGACAACATCCTGTTCAACAGCCCGTTCAGTGAGGAACGCTACAGGGCGGTGCTCGAGGGCTGCGCCCTGCTCCCCGACCTGGAGGCCCTCCCCAACGGCGACGGGGGGGGGCTCGCTGCGTACACCGCGCCGCTTGGTCGGCTAAGAAGCCCAGGGGCACCAGAGTACCAGTGAAGCTACAACTGGAGGAGGACGACGAGGGGGAGGGAGAGGGGAAGAAAGCAAAACGGAAGGCAGTGTCTGCCCGAATGGCGGACTTTCTAGCAGTTCCGCCAAGCCTGCCATGGACCCACGGATGAACAGTTGGCTTCGGAACATCCTGAAGCCGGGGACATGGCCCGGGAATGAATGTCGGTTTACTCTAAGATCCTGGCGTCGCATTGTTGTTCGCAGCTGGCGAGTTTGCCTTGCTCCGAGCCGCGGGATTGTCGCACACGGATGCGGCTCAGAAAATGCAGCGGGGTTCTAGGGATCTCGGCGTGTCTTCTTGCGATGTTGTAATTCGTTCGCAACGTCGGATCTCAGGGTAAGCCTGGACAGCTGGGGAGTCTAGACGGTCAGGTGTTTTTGGCTTAGCGTGTCGCGCCGCTGGTATTGTCCCACCACGCTTCGGCGCGACACGCTACCCACGCCCTGGTCCCGAGCTTTTCCTGGCCTCCCGCCCCACGGAACCCTGCGAGACGCTGTCCGCTCGCAGGGCATACGGTCAGGAACTTTGGCTTAGCGTGTCGCTCCGCGGGTTCTGGCACACCAACCTTCGGCGTGACACGCAGACCACGCCTTGGCCCCCGAGCGTCAGCATCCCGAGCCTTCACAGCCTTCAGCCCCGCGGAGCCCCGCGACGCGCCATCCGCTCGCAGGGCACAGCGCATCGCCGCGGCCACCGCCGCGACACGCGGAGCAGAAGCTCCCGGCCGTGTAGCTCTGCGCCGAGGCTCCCCATCGGCCGTCCACGCGGCGTGGTGGTGCGCACACGTGCCGCGTTCTCTCCCAGCTTGAGGACCGGAATGGGTGCGGAAAGAGCGGGTACGAAGATTGACAACATTCCTTCTGTCTACTTTGGACTGGGCTCGCTGTCTGCGTTGCCGCGGGCGTTGTTCTTTCGAGACGGTACGGGTGGCTGCCCAACAGTGGCCACGGCCTGTTTTGGACAGCCTTTGCTGTTGGGCATCGTACCCAATTTCCAATATAGTGGAGACCCATGCCAAGAATCACCCTGCTTGCCTCCAGGGTGCCCTGGGTTTCTTGGGTTTCGATGGTTTTGTTCTGGGAAGCGTGACGTTCCCACACCAAACACCGATGGACGTCCTGGGGGTCTCAGGGTTGGGTTTTTGGTGGAAGGGTTCTTGTGGTCGAGCTCCTTCTGTACCCAATTGTTCCGTACTCACTGCCGGCGTGCCAATCCCAGGCGAGGACACCGAGATCGGGGAGAAGGGCGTCAACCTGTCGGGCGGGCAGAAGCAGCGCGTCTCGCTGGCGCGCGCGCTGTACGCCGCGCCCCATCTGCTGCTCCTCGACGACCCGCTGAGCGCAGTGGACGCCGAGGTCTTCTGTGGCAGCTCCTGGGAGCCTTTGGCATCGCTCGGACGTGTGCATTTTTTCTCGGCGAGGACCATCGAGGAGCATTTGTGTTCACCCTGCGATACAAGCACGAAGCCGAGAAATACGTCCGAGCGACGGCGAGATTGTGTGCTCTCGGGATTCCGGGGTTAGGGTGCGCTCGCGCGCGCTAGCGTCCCTGTAATCCACGAGAATGCACCGAGGTAGCGTCGATCCAGCGTCGCTTTAGCGTCGATTGGCGCCGATTCGTGTCAACTAGCGTCATGTCGCGTTGGCTCGCAAACGCCAGCAGGATAAAGATTGGAGGCTCCCGTGACAGGGTCTATTTCGATCCGATCGATTCCCGTCCGGTCCGATTCCGATGTGCAGTCGATCCGGTAGGGGCCCGACGTCTGCAGCGCGCCGTTGTGCATCCTGGCGCGGCCGATCCGCTTCGGTTCCGACTCCGTGCTGGTGCGGCCCGCTTCGATTTGCATTAGGAGGAGGGGGAGGAGGAGGAGGAGGAGGAGGAGGAGGAGGAGGATCGATCGGGTATGTCGATACGATGCCGACTGATCGTGGCACGAGTTGCCGCAGAAGAGGTCGCCCAGAAGCTCTTGCGCACGCTGCGCGGGCCGCTGGTGCGGGGCTCCTCCATCGTCCTCTGCACGAACTACGTCGGCGCCGTCGCCCACGCCGACCAGGCCCCGGTGCCGCAGGGGGAGGCGGGGGGCAGGGAGGAGGAGCAGTCGAGTCTCGATTGGCGGCGCAGCAGGTTGACGAAGGGGAGGAGGAGGAGGAGGAGGAGGAGGAGGAGGAGGAGGAGGAGGAGGAGGAGGAGGAGGAGGGACTCCCCACCCAAGGTCCTGCTGCTCGAGCGCCCCGACCCCGCGCGGGGCAGCGTGGCCGCCTTCTGCGGCCCGCCGGCGGAGTTCCGGCAGAGGTGCCCTCGGGCGCTGCGCACAGGGGGGGGAGCACCAAACGTGGGGGCCCAAGCGGTCGGTGTCGTTTGACCGATCCCCACGTCCCTATCCCCATCCCCCATTCCCTTCAAGGAGGAAATATTGGTCTACTCTGTAAGAACGGTTTTTTGAAGGCAGATCTGCCTTCAAAAAACCGTTCTTACAGAGTAGACCAGTCTTTCCTCCTTGAAGGCAGATCTGCCTTCAAAAAACCGTTCTTACAGAGTCCCCATCCCCATCCCCCATTCCCTTCGAGGCCCCCACCAAAGTGCCACCCCAGGATACGCCCCTCGAGAGCCGAAGGGAGCGACCCGTATCCCCATCTGGGGAGGGCAAGTCGGCCAGTGGGGCCCAGGCCACGCCGCTGGGGATGGGGAGGGGTGAAACGATACTCAAACGGGGCACGAAAGGTGCACGCTTCCCCCCCACATTGATCGCTCCTTCGGTCGCAAATCATGGGAGCCTGGTAGAGCCTGTGAACTCCGTCCTTAGCGTCGATTGACGTCGATTAGCGTCTGGGAGTCGATGAGATAGCGCCGATCTAGCGCCGGTTAGCGTCGATGAGCGTCGATTTAGCGTCTATTCGTATCGATTCAGCGTCGATTGGCGTCGATTCGCACGCTCCCCCCCGTTGATCTCGAAGAAGGAAAAACTGCATAAACATGAACTTTCGGAGTTCCGCGCGGATTTCTTGGATCTGCGTTGGGGCCCTCTTTGCGGCGCCTCCGGCGCCGCCGCTGACGCGCTCCGCGCGCGCCAGGGAGGGGAGTCCAGCGCAGATCCAAGCAATCCGCGCGAGCCGTCGAGCGTTTATGCTTATGCCGTTTTTTCTTCCTCGATGATCGTTCCCCCATTACGCAACGTCTAAGTGCCCAGGGGCAACGTGGAAAGAGGAACGGCTCAAGGGGGGGGTCGAGGTTCGAGGTTCGTCTTCGGGTGTTTTGGGGGGCGTCCTCGGCGGCTTCCCAGCCTCGGGATGCTCTCCAGCAGCTGCGCCTCGGCGAGAGCGTTCCAGGGGTGCCCCCATCGTTCCGAACGGCCACTGGAAAGCCGAGGTATGACCCGAAAGCCAGGGGGCAACGTTAGGGCCGTTATGGGGGGATAGGCTCCTGGGGGGAACGCATCGACCCAACATCCCCCATTCATTGCCGATAAGGGAGGCCCGATAGCCCCCCCCGTTCAGGAAGGTGCGGATTCGCTGTTAGGGGCCCATCGCCGATCCATCGGCGACGCACCGCCTACTCCAAAGGCGATGCCGCTCCCCGAGGCGGCCCCCCAGCCCCATCCTCGTTTCCCCTCAGGTACCCTGACGTGTCAGGGGCGCACGACGGCCTGCAGCGCCAGCTGTCTGGGGCGCCCTGCGAGCTGGTGGAGGGCGACGGCGGGGAGAAGAAGAAGGACTCCGGCCGGCTGGTGGAGCGGGAGGCGGAGCGGGTGGGGTCGGTGCCATGGGGCGTGTACAGGGCGTACCTCGGCGCGGGGGGCGGCCTCTGCTTGACCGCCGCGGTCATCCTCGGGATGATCCTCGGGCAGGGCGTGCAGACCTGTGCGGACAGCTGGGTCTCGTTCTGGTCCGACCACAGCAGGGGGGACGCCCAGCCGCATGTGTCGAGTGAGGCCGGGCTGCTGGGCTACGTGGTCCTGAGCTTCACCGCCTTCTTCGGGATTTTCGCGACCAGTTCGCTCTTCAGGCTCACGGCGCTGAACGCCGCGCGGTCCTTCCACCGCCAGCTGCTGGAGAAGATGCTGCAGTTGCCCATGTCCTTCTACGACACGACGCCCCTGGGGCGCGTCCTCAACCGCTTCTCCAAGGACGTGTACACTGTCGACGAGCAGCTTCAAGGCGTCCTCTACATGTACATGACAACGCTCGCGCGGGTCACCGCTACTGTGGTGGTGATAGCTGTGGCAACGCCCTGGTTCATTGCGGTAGTCGTGCCGCTGTTGTGCCTCTACCGTGCGGTGCAGAATTACTACGTGCCGTCGTCCAGGCAGCTCAAGCGCATCGAGTCCACACTGCGCTCCCCCATCTTCTCCCACTTCACCGAGAGTCTGGAGGGCGTCTCTTCTATCCGGGCCTTTGGCCAGCAGGCCCAGTTCCTCGAAGAGAACGCCGAGCGCCTGCGGCGCCAGATGCGGGCCTACTACAACAACGTGTCCTCCAACAGGTGGCTGGCCGTCCGCCTGGAGACGCTCGGGACCACCATCGTCGGCGCCGCCGGGCTGCTTGCGGTGGAGAGCCGCCACACCATCAGCGCCGGCCTCGCCGGGCTGTCCATCTCGTATGGGCTGTCCGTCACGCAGTCCCTGAACTGGGTCGTGCGCATGACCTCCGACCGTGAGACGGCGATCGTCTCCGTGGAGCGCATCCGGGAGTACATCCTCCTCAGCCCCGAGCCGCCGCGCCGGTGCCCACGCACGGACCCACCGCCCGGGGCGTGGCCCACCGCCGGTGCCATCGAGTTCCAGGACCTCAAGCTTCGGTACCGGCCCAGCCTGCCGCTGGTGTTGCAGGGCTTCTCGCTGCGCGTGGGGGCCCGGGAGAAGCTGGGCATCTGCGGCAGGACCGGCGCCGGGAAGTCCTCCATCCTCAACGTGCTGCTGCGCCTGGTGGAGCCCGAGGAGGGCCGGACCATGATCGACGGCGTAGACATCGCCACGCTGGGCCTGCACCGGCTCCGCCTCAGCATCACCATCATCCCGCAGGAACCTTCGGGTGCAACTCCTGGGAGGTCAAAGTCCAACTCTGCCCTGGTCCCGAGTCTGGCTCAACTTTGGCACAATCCCGCCAAATCCGGCGCCATCCCGCCTAATCCCGCCGAGTCCCGCCCAATCCGCGGCCTCATCCGACGTGGCAGCCCCCCCCAATGGCGTTCACTTCTCCCTAGCCCTTCCGACGAAGGCCTCCCAGCAGTGGCCTCCTCAGGACCCCGTCCTCTTCACGGGGGCGCTCCGCTTCAACCTGGACCCCCTCGGCCAGCACAGCGACGGCGCGCTCTGGACGGCCCTGCGGCGGTCGCATCTGGAGGCGCACGTGCAGACGCTGGGCGGGGAGGCGCAGGGCAGCGGCGTCCCGCGGGACGAGGCGGCCTGCCTGAGCTCGCTCGTCGCGGAGCAGGGTGCCAACTTCTCGCTGGGCCAGAGGCGCAAGATCGCTGAACTTGTAAGTCGGGCCTGTCCCTCTGCAGGAGGAATATCCGACCATAGTCAAAAAGTAGGCTGGGGACAATTTTCGAGTCTCTGTTGGCCATTTTGGGGTATGTGTTTATTTTTTGTGATTGCTCCGTCCAACATCTTCTGGTAGGGGGACATGCCGACCTGGGCTTCACTCGATGCGTCAGGGTCGCGTCGAGTCGACCGGGGTTTCCCGCCGATGGCTTTTCACGTGGAACGCCGCCGGAGACCCGGAATCGGTCGATGTTGAAAGAGCTGTCGTTTCGGCATCGGCCGATCGTTTGAGGTGGAACGCTTCCCGCGGTGTCAAGAGCCTACGCCGACGTCGGCACGAGACGAGCCTGCCGCAGGCGTAAGAGTGACCTTCGCTGGAGTTCAGGAGGGAACAAAAGACACAGACACAATTAATCGTCGACCCCCAGGAAAATATGGGAAAATATGGGAAGTGGGGGGGAAGACAAAAACCCCGAAAATATAAGAAAATATGGGGAATCCTTCAATTTGTGTGTATTTATTTGTGTGTCCCAGGTCCCCTTCAGGAGTGGCCTCTTGCGCGGGCTCAGTTGGGCCCCCCGATCCCCGAACGGTGTGCGATAGCAGCGTCTCGTGCGCTCGTGTTTGGCCCCACCGCGGCCCCCCTCCCCAAACCGCGCACCAACGGTCACTCTTACAGTCGGGGCGCTGAGGAAGGAACCCTTTTCGTTGGGGAGGGGCTCGGTGTTCCTTAGTTGTTTCGCAGCTTGCCTTGGGTTTTGCCTAGGGTTTCGATGGAAAATCGAAGTTCAACTCATGGAAAACAGGGGCCTCTTTCCTTATTTAGGGTTCCTTAGGTCAACGCCCCGACTGTAGTAGCGTCTCGTGCGCTCGTGTTTGGCCCCACCGCGGCCCCCCCCAAAAGAACCTCGCACCAACGGTCACTCTTACCCGGGTCACTCCTGCCGTGTAGCCGGCAGTATCGCTTCACGCCCCTAAGCCCCCCCCCCCTCCCCAGTTGGTCGGCGGCAAGCGAGGGGGGGAGAAATAAGAGGGGTAAGGCCTTCTCAGAAGGCTGCGGGACTTCTCAGAAGCCCTCGCGCCCTCTGAGAGGTGTTCTCTGCCTTCGGGGAAGGCTTGAAAACTTCTCAGAAGGCGGAGGGGCGTCCGAGCCTTCTGAGAAGGCCCGCCCCTTCTCACTTCCCCGCCGGGCTCGCCTCCGAGTTGGGGATGTAGGCCATCGGAGCCCGCGAGGATTAGCCTATAAGATCCCCATCTAGGGGAGTAGATCGGCCAGAGGGGCTCTGGCCACGCCATGGGGGCAGGGATCGGTGCAACGATGCTGCAGAGGCAGCAGATGTGCCTCGCGCGCGCTCTGCTCTGCTCGAACAAGATCCTGCTGCTCGACGAGGCCACCTCCGCGGTGGACCAGGACATCAGAGGCAGCATTAGGTTTAAGTCGGGCTTGTCCCTCTACAGGGGGAATATTCAAAAATAGTCAAACAATAGTATGGGGACTATTTTTTGACCATTCTTGAGTATGTTTCGGATAGGTTTGACTTTGTTATTTTTCGTCCCAACCCCCCCTGTAGGGGGACAGGCCCGACTTGGCATTCGGTGGGGATGGGCTCAGGGGGCTCAGTGGGGCATGCATCGACCCACAGCCGCCCCTCGATCGCCGACAGGGGCACACTGGCCCCGCCCGCCAGGGCATGTGGATTCGTCCTCGGGGGGGCAACCGCCGATCTGTCGGCGATGCATCGCCGATTCTCACCCGATGTTCCCCCGCCCCCCCCCCTCTGAGCCAAGGCCAGGCCCCACCCATCGTTTCTGACAGGCCGATTTTCCACCAGTGCTGCCATATGTAGGAGAGGGAGGAGGAGGAGGAGGAGGAGGAGGAGGAGGAGGAGGAGGAGGAGGAGGAGGAGGAGGAGGAGGAGGTGGAGGAGGACCTCCCCTATCCTCCCCTCTCCCCGTCCTACCCATGGTAGCGGCGGTGGAGAATCGGCCACGCCGTTCCCTCTCTCGCAGGAGACCGACCGGCGGATCCAGGACACCATCCGCGAGGAGTTCGCGGAGCACACGGTGCTGTGCATCGGCGTATCTTTTTTTTTTTTTTTTTTTTTTTTATTCTTTTTGTTGCTTTCTTATTTGCTTTTTTTTTTTTTTTTCTTTTTTTTTTTGTTTTTTTTTTTTTTTTTTCTCTTTGCGCACCATCCGGGAGTTCGACCGCGTCTGCGTGGTGGACGCCGGCAGGGTCGCGGAGAGACCGGCAAGAAAGCCCAAGCGGCAGCATAGTTGGGAGGCGTGAGACGGGGGTCGATGCAAGCCTGGGTCAGCAAGAGCGCCCGAAACTCGCAGGCTCCTGCAGGCCAGGGGCGCATGGGCTGGGGTCTGGGTGCAGGATCCTGCAGGATGCTGCAAGATCCTTCGCATGGGCCCGGGCTTGGGTGCAGGATCCTGCAGGAGCCTGCAGGAGCCTGCAACGCCTGACTGACCCGAGATTGCATTGACCCGGGTCAGTGCGTCCCCGAATGTCCCTCTACTCAGGCAGTGGCGAAGCGTCCAGGCGTGCCTATAGCCCTACCAAGCAATGTTCTAAGAACCTGTTGTGACTTCCACGAATTGTTCTTAGAACATTTATGGCTGGAACTGTTTGGTTTTCACGCATGAGGCTTATGTTTTAAGAACATTGTTTTTGTGATTAGAACATGTTTGGGTTCTAAGAACATTTCGTGGTAGGACTATAGGAATGCCCGGACGGTCGGTCCCTGCTCATTCTACAGGTGGACAAGTCCCAGATAGTAGACAAATCGTTCTGGGGACGATTTTCGTGCTCTTTGTACGTTTTCTGCTTTGTTTTTGACTATTTGCACGCTTCTTCCCAACATCCGCCTGTAGGAGGACACGCTCGACCTAACATTAGGCACCACTTTGGAATGTCCGCCGCGCGCCTTCCTGCTGGATCGGCGCAGGAAGCCCCACTTCACTCCGTCTTTCGCGTCGATCAGCGTCGATTCGCGTCTGGGAGAAGTGCTGCTCTAGCGCCGACTTAGCGTCGATTAGCGTCGAGTTAGCGCCGATTAGCGCCGATTTAGCGTCGGCTAGCGTCGATTCGCAAGAGCCGACAAGTTCTCCGAACATCGACCCTAGTCGACCGCTACATCGGCGCTATCGGCTCAGCGCGGATAGCGCTGATTCAGCATCGAATAGCGTCGACTGACCGTCGATCAGCGTAGAGTTTTGCGTCGACCAGCGTCGACTCGTATGGGAGGCTCCTGTGAGTTGCCACCGAAGAGTTCTCTTGTCCCTCTAGGAGACCGGCCTGCCGGGAGACCTGCTGGAGGAGTCCGTGGCCCTCCAGCTGTCCCTGCGGGGGGTCGACCTCGGCCGGCTTGGGGCCGCCACGGGGCCCGAGGTCCTCGCCGAGCTCAAGGCCAGACGAGGGAACCTCCTCCTCCTCCTCCTCCTCCTCCTCTTTCTCTCCGCCTCCTCCCCATCCTCCTCCTCCTCCTCCTCCTCCTTCTCCTCCTCCTGCCCCCCCCCCTGGTCGTCGTCGATGTCTTTCAGGGTCGGCGGCACTGGCCGTCAGGCCTTCACAATTTTCCGATGCCGCGATCCTTGCCTTAAGTCTGGCATGTCCCTCTACAGAAGACATTGAAGACATATTCAAACATGATCAAATAATAGTCGGAGGGCGATGTTTTAATGTTTGATTCTTGTTTGAGCATTTTGATGATGCATACTTGTTGGGACTATTTTTGAGTTCTCTTCCAACACCCGCCTGTAGGAGGACATGCGTAAATTTCTGGCAGTCCGCGCGGATTTCTTGGATCTGCGCTAGGATCCCCCCTGGCGGCGCCCCTGGCGCCGCCCCTGGCGCGCTCCGCGTGCCAGGGAGGGGCGTCCAGCGCGGATCAAAGAGATCTGCGCGGATCGTCAAGAGCTTATGTTTGTGCCGTTTTCTTATTGCTCTGTCATCGCCGTGGCTGGATCTGCTCTGGAATCCTGGTCAGACAGCGAAGCATGCCCATCGGTCGCTCAAAGTAGGCATTTGTAGAGTCCCAGATTCCAGTCTACTTGAAGCGCCTTCCTAACTCCAATGATCGAGTGGCTTCACCTCTTCCGTCCCCCATAAGGGGACGGACGGAACCCAATCTGCTTTAAGCGCCTGCCTTCCTACTTCATGTTTCTACCTACTTCTTCCGACCGATGGGTACTTTCTCGGCGCGGTTCAGTCTCGAGCTGTGCCTCTCGGTTCCTGGCGCCCCCGTCTGCGCGTGAGAGCATCTCTCCGCCCGCGGCAGGCGACGGGGAGCGCTCCCCGGCGGCTCCTCCCCCTCCTTGGAGAGCCCACGTGCAATGGGATGCTCTCGGGACTCTGAAAGCCGAGGTGTCCAGGGGTGCCCAAACCAGCGTTTCGGCCGAGAGGTCCCACGATCTGGATCCAAGAAATCCGTGCGGACCGTCCAAGTTTATGCTTGTTGCTCTGCCATCGCCACGGCTGGGTTTGCCTTGGAATCCTGGTCAGAAAGCGAAGCATGCTTTTTCGACGCGGACAGGTCCCGAGCTGTGCCTCTCAGCTCCTGACGCCCCGGTCTGCGCGTGAGAGCATCTCTTTCCCGGCGGCTCCTTCCCCCTTTTGAGCGCCCTAGTGCAGCGGCATGCTCCCGGGACTCTGCACCGAAGAAGAAATGACGTAAACATAAACTGTGCCGCGATTTTGGCCTCCTCTCGAAGAACAAGGGTCGGCATAAGTCTAAACTTTTGGCGCTCCGCGCGGCTTTCTTGGATCCGCGCTGGGCCCCCCCCCCCCGCAGCGCCTCCGGCGCCGCCCCTGGCGCGCTCCGCACGCCGGGGAGGGGGGTCCAGCACAGATCCAAGGACTCCGCGCGGAGCGCCACAAGTTTATGTTTATCGCGTTTCCCTTCCTCTAGAGGTGTCGGGGGTGCCCAAGCCAGCGTTTCGCCCGAGAGGTCCCACGATCTGGGCGCGAGCCGGCAAGTACAGCACCCCTTGGGCCATGCGCGCTATACATGGCGGCGGTCATGGGCCTTCCAAGAGAGAAGAGTTCGAGGCGTCGGAGCAGACGAACCGCGTGAGACATCCTCACAGTCTGGACGCGAACGGGCCTGTGATACACCCTCTGGCGGTTCCTTTTGGAGATGCCCAATTCAGAAAGACAAGTCTCGGGTTGAGAGCATGGGCTTGGGAGCATGGATAGCATCATGTATATTATCGCGTATGTTGAAGGTACTTCCCAGAGGTCGTTTGGATCTTATTATAAGAGTCGATGTTTTGTCATGTTGACGATATAAGATCACTCATATGTAGTTCTTATTTTTGATATTATTTGTCATGCGTATCATCATATATCATGCGTTATTTCCGTGCCAGTGACTAGGCTTCTGATGTATATGATATGAATTGTGTTTTTGATATGATTTGTGCTGTTGAAAAACCGTTTTGAAGACGAGCCGCCCTCCGTTCGAGCAACTTTGAAATCGAGGACGTCTCGAGCGAGAGCGGGGTCCGATCGGACCTCCAGAAGTTTCTCTTCCTCTCCTTCCTTTTTCCTCCTCCTCCTCCTCTCCTCCTCCTCCACCCCGTCATTTCCTCCTCCTCCGCCTTCTCGTCATCGTCCTCCTCCTCCCTCACCTTGTTTTCCTTATCCATCCCCTCTTCTCGTCGGCGCCTCCTCCTCCTCCTTCTCTTCTCATGTTGCAGCCGTTTGGTTCCATTATTTTTCGACCAGCAGAGGTCTGCACACGCGCGCGGGAGCGCATGGCGTCGAGCTCGGCTGCTGGCGGCAGCCAGGCTCTTCGCTCTTCCTCCTCCTCGTCGGCGTCGTCGTCGTCGTCCTCCTCCTCCTCCTTCTCCTCCTCCCCCTTCTCCTCCCTCCTCCACTCGCAGCCGCCGTTTCTCCTCCTCCTGCTCCTGCTCCTCCTGCTCCTCCTCCACCTGCTGCTGCTCCTCCTCCTCTTTTTCCTCCTCCGTCTCGTTATCCTCCTCCTCATTCCCCGATATCCTCCTCCTCCTCCTCCTCCTCCTCCTCCTCCTCCTCCTCCTCATCCTCCTCCTCCTCCTCCCCATCGGCACCCTTCACGACGGTCATCACGAAGGCGGAGTACGACAAGGAGATGGAGGAGGCGCTGCGCGTCGCGGAGGAGGCCCAGAAGGAGGAGGACCGCTTGAGGCTGGACGCGATCGCCGCCGACTTGCGGGCGGCGATCGCGATGGCCAGCGAGGGCCCGCCGCCGCCGCCGCCGAGCGGGGCGCGGGCGCACGCGGAGCGCCGAAGGGTCAATGCTCCTCTCCCGCCTCGCTAGCCTCCTCCTCCTCCCCCTCCCCCTCCCTCCTCCTCCTCCTCCCTCCTCCTCCTCTTCCTAATCCTTCTCCTCCTCCTCCTCCTCCTCCTCCTCCTCCTCGCCCTCCTTATCCTAATTTCGCTTTCCATCGCAGCCCCCCTCCATTCGGCATCCGCTAACGAAGAGACCTACTATATCGATATGTGCGATATCATGCTGGCGAAGCACAGGCTGGGGTACCCCATCACGTGGAAGCCGTACCCACTCGAGGTATTTTCTCGACCCATCGCCCCCCCCCCCCCCTCCCCCAACAAAAAAAACAAACAACAAAACTTTAGAGGCGCCCACCCCGAACATCATCAGCGATCTCGTCGTCGCGAACCCGAAGCGCCGCTCCATATCGACCAAGAGGGCGACCCTTATCGCGAAGATCGATTTCGTAAAGAGGTGGAGGCGCTACTCGAGGATGAACAAAAAAAGGATATCGTTTCCCGCCTCCGCCCCTCCTTCCTTTGATCCCCTCGCCCGCCCGTGCCCCCCAGCTAGGACGCCTTCTTCTCGGAGCTGCAGAGGCGCGAGGCGGAGCAGCAAGGCCCTCGTCCTCCTTCTCGCCCTTGTCCTCCTCCTTGTCCTCCTCTCCTCATTCTCTCGTTGTTATCCTCCTCCTCCTCTCTCTCTCTCTCTCTCTCTCTCTCTCTCTCTCTTCTCTCTCTCTATCTCTCTCTTCTCTCTCCTCTCTCTCTCTCTATCTCTCTCTCTCTCTCTTCTTCTCTCTCTCTCTCTCTCTCTCTCGTTGTTCTCCTCCTCGTCCTCCTTCTCGCCCTCGCCACCCTCCTCATCCTCCTCTCCCCCTCCCCCTCCTCCTCCTCTTGTAGGCGTGATCGACATTCCCGATTCGCCACCGCGCCCGGGCGAGGGCGAGCTCGGCGCGTGGAACGAGGCGGACACGTCGACGGGCGCCCAGCAGCCGACGACGGGCATCCAGCCGACGGAGGGCGTCCAGCAGCCGACGACGGGCATCCAGCCGACGACTGGCGTCCAGCAGCAGCCGACGGGCATCCAGCAGCAGCCGACGGGCGCCCAGCAGCCGACGACGGGCATCCAGCAACCGCCGACGACGGGCATCCAGCACCAGCCGACGGAGGGCGCCCAGCAGCCGACGGGCGTCCAGCAGCAGCCGACGATGGGCATCCAGCAACAGCCGACGGGCGTCCAGCAGCAGCCGACGGAGGGCGTCCAGCAACAGCCGACGACGGGCGACCAGCAGCAGCCGACGGGGGTCCAGCAACCGACGGGCGACCAGCAGCAACCGACGGGCGTCCAGCAGCCGACAGGCATCCAGCCGACAACGGGCGCCCAGCAACAGCCGACGGATGGCGTCCAGCAGCCGACGGGCGTCCAGCAACAACCGACGGCAGGCATCCAGCAACAGCCGACGGGCGTCCAGCAACAACCGACGGCGGCCTTCCAGCAACAGCCGACGACGGGCGTCCAGGAGCCGACGACGGGCATCCAGCAACCGACGGGCATCCAGCAACGACCGACGGGCGTCCAGCAGCCCACGGGCATCCAGCCGACGGCGGGCATCCAGCAACAGCCGACGGCGGGCATCCAGCAACAGCCGACGACGGGCATCCCCCAACAGCCGACGACGGGCATCCAGCAACAGCCGACGGGCACCCAGCAACAGCCGACGACGGGCACCCAGCAGCAGCCGACGACGGGCTTCTTTTTTTTTTTTTTTTTATTTTTTTTTGTTTTTTTTTTTTTGCTTTTTTGTCCTTTTGTTTCTTTTTTTTTTTTCTTATTTTTTTTTTTTTTTGTCTTTTTTTTTTATTTGTTGGTTTTTCTTTTTTTTTATTTTTCTTTTTTTTTTTTTTTGTTCTTTTTTTTTTTTTTTCTTTTTATTATTTTTTTTTTATTGTCTTTTTTTTTTTTTTTTTCTTTTTTTCCTTTTTTTTTTTTTTTTTTTTTTTTTTTTTTTTTTTTTTTTTTTTTTTTTTTTTTTTTTTTTTTTTTCTTTTTTTTTTTTTTTTTTTTTTTTTTCTTATTTCCAGGTTTTTTTTTTTTATTTTTATTTTTTTTTTTTGTTTTTTTTTTGTTTTTCTTTTTCATATTTTTTTCCCTTTTTTTTTTCTTTTTTTTTACTTTTTCAGCTTCAGCCGACGTGCTTCCAGCAGCAGCCGACGGCAGGCGTCCAGCAACAGCCGACTGGCGCCCAGCAGCCGACGACAGGCATCCACCAACAGCCGACGACAGGCATCCAGCAACAGCCGACGACGACGGGCATCCAGCAACAGCCGACGGCGGGCATCCAGCAACAGCCGACGACGGGCCTCCCCCAACAGCCGACGGGCGCCCAGCAGCAGCCGACGACGGGCACCCAGCCGACGACTGGCGTCCAGCAGCAACCGACGGGCGTCCAGCAACCGACGGGCATCCAGCAGCAACCGACGGGCGCCCAGCAGCCGACGGGCGTCCAGCCGACGGATGGCGCCCAGCTGCCGCCGACGACGGGCATCCAGCAACCGCCGACGACGGGCATCCAGCAGCCGCCGACGACGGGCGTCCAGCAGCCGACGGGCATCCAGCAACAGCCGACGACAGGCGTCCAGCAGCCGACGACGGGCGTCCAGCAACAGCCGACGACGGGCGTCCATCAGCAGCCGACGACGGGCTTCCAGCAGCAACCGACGGGCCTCCAGCAACAGCCGACGGCAGGCATCCAGCAACAGCCGACGGGCATCCAGAAGCCGACGGGGCAGCCTTCGTCGGGCCCCTCGGGCGGGCCATGGGCGCCGAGCTTAGGCGCTGCCCCCCGATTCATCGATGCGAGCTTGCCGACGCCCTCATTGCCGCCCTTGGGAACCTTGGGAAGCTTGTGGGCCAGTGAGAACGCTAGGCCGCGCCATGAGATCGCGCAGGTGTCCAGCGTCGGCGCCGCAGCAGGTGCCTCGCAGACCGCGGGCTCCGTGGGGATGCTGGGCGTGGCCGGTCATCCCTGCCCGTGGCAGGGGCAGTCGGGCTTGCAGCAGCTCGGCGGCGCGCAGAACCTGTTCGCCATCCCTCACGAGTGGCAGCAGGCGGGCCTCTTCCGCAACACCAGTTGGGGACCGCTCTGACCTTCAAACTTAATTCGAACCCTTATTCCGTTGAAGGTCCTCGGCCCCTCCATCCCCGTGGAGGGGCAGAGGGGGAGGCAAGGCAAGGAAACCCCAGGGTTGGCGGGCTGACCTCAGGACCTGGCGCGCTTGGGCTTAGCGCGGGCGCAGCGCCCCAAGGTTGGGGTGCCGACGACGAGCCCCAGAATTGAACGACTCCCGCCACTCCCCACTTCGCCCGCGGGCGGCGGCGAAGTGGGAGGGCGGCGGGAGTGTACAGTTATCACGGGCGTCGTCGTCGCGCCCTGCAGGCCGCGACGTGCCAGGCGATGAGCCTGCAGATTCATTCTCGCAGGATGACCAGGCGAGGCTGGCGGGCACCTTGACGAAAGATGAGCTGGTCAATCAGCTGTCCCAGGGTATGATCATGCTCGAGCAGGAAAACCCGAATGAGGAGATCGACGCCGTCGAGCAGAAGTTTTCCAACTTCTACCAGGGCAACCTGATGTGCCAGCTACGCCAACACCGACCCGACGCTATGCCAGAGGACAACAGCGAGGTCGCGACGACGGAGGAGGAGTTGATGTGGAGGCACTTGCAGTCCAAGGGTTTCCTATTCGGAACCGCGAAGGGAGCTGGCAACCCGATAGCGGGTCGCTGGCAGCGGGCGCTGGACAGGGACCCCGAGCTCCACGCGGCTTACATCAGGGAGGCTGGCTACACGAACAAAGCTGCCTTCCGCCAGAGGTGGGCCGAGGGAGAGTTCAAGAAGTGGGAGAGGATGCACGAGATGAAGATTGCCACGACGAACTCGAAGAAGGAGAAATTGAAAGGCGAACACCTCTCCCTTGGCCGCATTGCCTGGAAATTCGGCGGGGGGGGGACTGGGAAGAAGCTCGCGATCCGTTACTGCACGAAGGCAGTGATGATGGGGGGGAAGTGGACGAAGTGGTGCAAGATGACATCGTCCCTCCTCATTCTCTTCGTGACCCACGAGCTGTCCGACAAGTACGAGAAGGCCTGGCATGAGTTCGAGACTTGGACGAGGCAGCCGTCGCAGACGCCTGGCGCCTTGTCGAATATCAGCTCGGGCGCTGCTGCCGCGGCTGGTGGGGTCGTGCCCGGCGGCGCGGGCCCGAGCGCCGCAGCCGCGGCCACCGCCGCGGGCGCGGCCGCCGCAGCCACGCCCGTCGCCCAGACCCCGCCCCCGCAGGAGATGAGCCCATTGGGAGCCACTCCCCCGCCAGTGACGCCCCCTCATGAGCCGCAGGCTGCTGCCCAGGGCCAGCGCGGCAAGAAGCGCACCGCGGCCAACATCGGCAGCGGCGGTGGTGGCGACGGCGGCGGCAGCGGCTGCCGCTCCGAGCAGAAGAGGACCAAGGCGCCCCAGTGGAAGCTGGACTACGCCAAGGTCAAGACGATGTACTCGGGTGTGATGTCGCAGGCGACTACGAGGAGAGGAAGGAGGAGGAAGAGGAGGGGCAGGAGGCGGAGGAGGAGGAGACGGAGACGGGGCAGGAGCAAGAGGAGAAGGAGGAGGAGGCGGGAGAGGAGGAGGAGGAGGAGGAGCAATGGTGAACACGCGTAACCCAGGAGAAAGGAAGAGGAAGCGGAGGAGGAGGTGGAGGCACGGGATTCACCCCATCCTCCACACTTGTGATATACCTGCCCTTGCCTCCAGCTACTCCACTGCTCCCCCCGCATCCTCCTTCTCCGCCCCTCCGCCCGCCGCCCCCCGCCTTCCGCCGCCAGGTGAGCCTCCTCGACAACCTTATCGAAAACGACTCTCGCTGGGCCTGGGCCAGCTCAGAGGGGATCCGCGGGGCGATGGACGTGGCCACCGCCGAGGTGGGGCGGGGCCGCGGGGCCGCGGGAGGGGTGCTGTGACCCCCCATCCTTCCACTTCCTTCCTCCCTCCTCCCTCCTCCTTGCTGGGGTGTTGCTCCCCTCATTATTCCTCCATATCCTCTCTCCTCCTTCCTCCCTCCTACCTCCTCCCTCCTCCCTCCTCCCTCCTCCCCTCCCATCCGTGACCGGACCGATGTCGCTGTGACCGGCGTGGGCGGCCCGTCGTCGCGGGCGAGGGCGGGCCGATCGTCGGCCGCGCTCAGTCAGGAGACCAGAAGCCCGCCGCAAGCGCCGATTCGTCGGCCGTGCCCGGTCAGGAGACCAGAAGCCCGCCGCAAGCGCCGATTCGTCGGTCGTGCCCGGTCGACCAGATCAGAAGCCCGCCGCGTGCGCCACAGATATCTGCGACCAGGGCGGGGGGGACAAGTGAGAAGGGCGGCAGGGAGAACGAGGGGGGGTGGATGGGGAGCTTGCGTAGCCATTTGGGCTCTTCCCCCAAGCGGGGCAGGAGGGGCGCGCGGCGCGCGCGCCTGGATCGACGGCTCCAGCCGTCGCTATGCCTGCAGCTTCGAGCGGCCGTAGGCGTCTTCGCGGCCCAGCAGAGGATGACGAGGAGCTCGAGCAGAAGATCGTGGAGGTCCTGCAGCGCCACATCGATGACACGGACGCGCTGGAGTACTCGGAGGACATGGGCGATTCCGCGGACACCGACGAGTTGACGAATTGGCAAGATGCTGATCGACCTTCGCAACGCGCTGTACCCGAACCAGACGTTCACGCAGCTCTACGGCGAGAAGGTGCTCAGAGCCTTGGCCTCCGCGAATGAGAAGCAGTGGAAGCTCGCCAGCCAGGCTTCGGATTGGGCATCATCGCGGAGCAAGATGGTCCGAGCGATGCTTCGCCATGTGTCGCAGGGCGTCATCAAAGCGAGGAGCGGCGAGGAGGAGGAGGAGGAGGAGGAGGAGGAGGAGGGGGAGGATGGGGAGGGGGAGGAGGAGGGGGAGTGAGGACAATGAGGAGGCGGAGGAGGAGGAGGAGGAGCGGCGATGAGCGCCCATTCCTAGGAACAAACCTACGGACAAGCGCGCCAAGTGGGTCAAGTCGTTCGTTGTCGCGACGGAGGATCGCGAGCGCGACGCTGCAGAGGTCGTGCATTTTTGGGGGGGGCGGATCGCTGCAAGGGGTTTCTGGTGGCTTCTCGTCGCCACGGCTGGATGCAGAAAAAATCGGCGGGCCATGCGGTGGAGGCTACGATGAGAAGTGGGGGGCTTAAGACGAGGAGGAGGAGGGAGGAGGAGGAGGAGGAGGAGGAGGCGAGGAGGAGGAGGAGAAGGAGGAGGAGGAGGAAGGAGGAGGAGGAGCGATGGCTAACTTAATCTGGCCCTGAGACTGCTGGCTATGAGTACGGCGTGGACGAGCACCTGAGGGCGCGAGAGTGCCAATGTAAAACTTGATTTCCACACCGCCCCTCCCTCCGATCGTGACCGGCATCGAATTGCCCAGGCCCCCGTCCTCGATCGTCGGCTTTCCATGAGCCATCTGCCCGCCTCCTCTATAGCCCCCAGGCAGTCTACCGCGTGTCCTTGGCCGAGGGGTCCGCGTCCTTGGTCCCCGACTACGCCGAGAAGCCCGAAGACGACCCGTCCATGGATGGCAGCGCCGAGGTCACGGTGAAGTGGAAGGACGGGCACGCGAAGCAGATCCCTGGGCTGACGTTCGCGAAGCTCCGCACTTGGTACGCGTCGGCCAAAGGCGGTGGCAAAGGCAAGGGCAAGGGCAAGGGCAGGGACAGCTCCGATAACAAGCTCATGGAGGCTAAGCACACGAGCACTGGCATGCTGGTGCAGCTGGCGAGGTACTCGAGGCTTGGGAAGAAATTCTTCGCCATCTGGGAAGAGGTTTCCTACGCGAAGAGGCCGAAGATGGTCATGCAGATGGCCGAGATTGAAGACTGCGACGGTCAGATCGCCTTCCTGAAGGAGCAGACGAGCCAGCACGTGCAAGGCAAGACCGAGAAGGACAAGATGGAGGTGGCCAAGAAGGAGTTCGCCGACAAGAATGCGAAGGACGAGAGGGCTGCTGCTGCGCTGATGAGGAGGCCAGCCGCGGCGCAGGGCGCCAAGCAGACGAAGGCACCCGCAAAGGACAAGGCGCGCGAGGAGAAGGACAAGGCGGGCGAGGAGGACGAGGAGGAGGAGGCTGATGAAGAAGAGCCTGGCGCCGAGAAGGACCCCGCGGAGGGCGACGATGATGAGGCCGAGGAGAGCGAGGAGGAGGAGGAAGCCGAGCGACCGGTCGGGAAGAAGCCCGCGGCCAAGAGCGCTGGCCAGTTGGCGCTCGCGGCCAAGAAGAGGCCCGCGGCGGCGGCGCCTACCTCGAGGACGCCATCGCCAAAGAAGCCGAGGTGTGGCAGTCCCGATCCGCAGCCACAGCACCAGCCCCAGCCTGACCCCGCTGTCAAGCCGCAGTCTCCGTCGGAGACCAAGTCGCTGGTCGAGCCAGTGTCGGGCGACAAGGTCAGCCAGCCATTGGTGCCAGCGGTGACTGGGGTAGGGGTCAAACCGACGAATCCGATGCCGACAGCGGCGACCGCGCCGCCGACCGAGAAGAAGCATGAGCAGGGTGGCGACTCGACGGAGATCCCCCTTGGCCTGTTTGACATGTTCTGAGGGCCAGCACATAGGGACTCCATTGGAGTCCAGTGGTTGCAGCGATAGACGCTGCTGCGCACGCCCTGGGATGCTGGGTTGACAGTTCCCGCTGCAAGAGTGGCAGCGATCTCTGCTAAGGAAGTTGGCAGAAGCAGGGGGGGGCTCGCGAAAGAAGAAAGGGTGGGGTTGAAAGAGAGAGGCGATGGGAGTGACGGGAGGTTTGGGGGGATGGCCGGTCGCTCGAACCAGCCCCCTTTCGACGTGTTCTGAAACGTGTGTTTATTCTCGGGTGAGTGGGCCTATTTCGTGGGCCCCAGTGGGGGCCTGAGTGCGCTCAGAAAAAACAAAAAAACACCGAATTTCGAAAACCAAATTCTACACATGAATGCCTGCTGAGGGAGGAGGGAATGAGGAGGCAAGAGAGGAGGGAACTTGAGCGGAGGGCGGAGGTGGAGGAGATGATTGGAGTAGTGGAGGATGGAGGAGGAGGGGAGATACGTGGATGGGGGGAATGTGAGGTGGAGGAGGAGGAGATCGGGAGGGATGGGTGGAAGAGGAATGTAAGTTGGAGGAGGGGTGTGAACAGCAGAGACAGGGGGAGGGCGCGAGCGGGCATCATAAAAATGGGATCGGAGGCGAAGCGCATCGTCAACTCGAAACAGCTGTACAGCGAGGCCCTGACGCAGGACCTGAAGGACCTCATGAAGAGTCTCGGGCCAGCCCAGGTGGAGGTGGATATCACGAACATGGTCAAGGACGCGATTGCTCCGATCATGTTTATTCTCGTCGCCCTCCCCCTGTGTTTGTTGGCGCCTCCTCATCTAGCGGCGCTCCGTTGAACTCCAAAGTCGCTCACTCCGCTCCCACGCAACTTGTCCCTGCCCTTGATCCCCATTCGGCCCTGACCGTCATGCCCATGCCCTCTCTCTCTCGTCATTGGTTTGCCGCTGACACCCTCCCCACGTGGCGCATGAGCTATGTATATGCACGTGCTTAGCTATGTGTGTAGTTATATATAGATATATTATATGTATGCTTTATGAGTACATATTTACATACATAAGCAAATGTCATGTATAGAATGCCAGATGTATGCATACCCATACACATATACATATATTCATATGTACACATATCGACATCCGAGCCAATCATTTCGTGCATAAAGCCCGCGCCGAGGAGCTCATGAAGCCCGTGCAGAATCTCTCCGACGAGGTGAAGATGATGTTCAGGCAGCAGAGCGCCAGGAAGAAGGACTAGGAGGCGCCCCCGTGTCGAGCTTGCGTGCAACGTTTTTTTCAGTTGTGTGCTGACAGAGCGTCGGCATGTTTGATATTTTCGAGATTTCGGCGCGAGCTTTGCTAGCATATCGAGCAAACATCGAACGCCCCCTTGGCAACATCGGAAATGCAGCGCAAAACCCAAGCGCACCCTTAACAACATCGGAAATGCAGCGCAAACCCCAAACC